TCAAACATGCAATCAGGAGGCATTGATAATTACTGGTGATTGGAATGTGAAAGTTGGAAACAACGAAGAAGGATTGGTAGTTGAAAAACATGGCACTGGTGATAGAAATGACGTCAGAGGTCTCATGATAGAATTTTGCGAGGCCAATGAATTATTCATTGCAAATACCTTTTTTCAGCAACATAAATGGTGACTATACACATGGACCTCACTGGATGAAAAACACAGGAATCAAATCGACTACATCTGTGGAAAGAGACGATGGGAAAACTCAATATCATCAGTTAGAACAAGGCTAAGGGCGACTGCAGAACAGACTATCAGTTGCTCATATGCAAGTTTATGTTGGAGCTGAAGAAAATTAAAACAAGCCCACGAGAGCCAAAGTACAACCTCAAGTCTGTCCCACCTGAATTTAGAGACCATCTCAATAACAGATTTGATGCATTGACTGCTAATGACTGAAGACCATATGAGTTGTGGGATGACATCCAGGATGTCATACATGAAGAAAGCAAAAGATTAAAAAGACAGGAAAGAAAGAAAAGACCAAAATGGATGTCAGAAGAGACTCTGAGACTTGCTTTTGAATGTACAGTAGCTAAAGCAGCTGGAAGAAATGATGAAGTAAAAGAGCTGAGCAAAAGATTTCAAAGGGCAGCTCCAGAAGACGAAGTAAAGTATTATAATGACATGTGCAAAGACCTGGAGATAGAAAACCAAAAGGGAAGAACACGCCGGGCATTTCTCAAGCTGAAAGAACTGAAGAAAAAATTCAACCCTCAAGTTGCAATACTGAAGGATTCTATGGGCAAAATATTGAACGATGCAGGAAGCATCAAAAGAAGATGGAAAGAATACACAGAGTCACTGTACCAAAAAGAACTGGTCAACATTCAACCATTTCAGAAGGTAGCATATGATCAAGAACTGATGGTATTGAAGAAAGAAATCTAATCTGCACTGAAGGCATTGATGAAAAACAAGGCTCCAGGAACTGACGGAATACCAATTAAGACGTTTCAACAAACAGACGCAGCACTGTGGGTGTCACTTGTTTATGCCAACCAACTGACTGGAAGAGATCCATATTTGTGCCCATTCCAAAGAAAGGGATCCGACAGAATGCAGAAATTATTGAACAATATCATTAATATCACATGCAGGTAAAATTTTGCTGAAGATGATTCAGAAGCTAAAGCAGCAGTACATCGACAGGGAACTTTCAGAAATTCAGGCTGCATTCAGAAGAAGACTTGGGGACAGGGAGATCATTGCTGATGTCAGATAGATCTTGCTGAAAGCAGTGAATACCAGAAAGATGTTTACCTGTGTTTTATTGACTATGCCAAGGCGTTTGATTCATAACAAATTATGGATAACATTGTGAAGAATGGGAATTTCAGAACACTTAATTGTGCTCATGAGAAACTGTACTTAGACCAAGAGGCAGTCATTTGACTAGGAAGAGGGGAAACTTTGTGGTTTAAAGTCAGGAAATGTGTGCGTCAGCAAAGTATTCTTTCACCATATTCAATCTGTATGCTGAGCAAATAATGTGAGAAGTTGGACTATATGAAGAAGAATGAGACATAAAGAAATAAAAATCCTCACCAGTGGACCAATAAGCAACATCATGATAAATGGAGAAAAGATTGAAGTTGTCAAGAATTTATTTTACTTGGATCCACAATCAACTCTCATGTAAACAGCAGTTAGGAAATCAGATGACATATTGCATTGGGCAAATCTGCCACAAAAGACCTCTTTAAAGTGTTGAAAGGCAAAGGTGTCACTCTGAGGACTAACGTGTGCCTGACCAAGCCATGGTGTTTTCAATCACTTCATATACATGGGAAAGCTGGACAATGAGCAAGAAAGACCGAAGAATTGATGCCTTTCAGTTATGGTGTTGGCAAAGAATACTGACTATACGATGGGCTTCCAGAAGAACGAACAAGTTTGTCTTTGAAGAAGTATGGGCAGAATCCTCCTTAGAAGCTAGGATGGCAAGACTCATCTCACATACTTTGGGCATGTTATCAGGTGGGACTAGTCCCTGGAGAAGGACATCATACTTGATAGAGGGTCAGCAGAAAAGAGGAAGACCATTAATAAGATGGATTGACACAGCGGCTGCAATGATGGGCTCAAACATAGCAATGATTGTGAGGATGGCACAGGACCAGGCAGTGTTTCGTTCTGTTGTACATACGGTTGCTGTGATTTGGAACTGACTCGGTGGCACCTAACAACAATACAGTGTCACAGTGTGTAATTTGCTGATTGTCATGGATTGAATTGTGTCCCCCAGAAATATATGTGTCAACTTGGCTAGGCAGTGATTCCCAGTATTGTGTGATTGTCCACTATTTTGTTATCTGATGTGATTTTCCTAAGTGTTGTAAATCCTACCTCTATGATGTTAATGAGGCAGGATTAGAGGCAGTCATGTTAATGAGGCAGGACTCAATCTACAAGATTAGGTTGTGTCTTGAATCAATTTCTTTTGAGATACAAAAGAGAGAAGTGAGCAGAGAGACAGGGGGACCTATTACCACCAAGCATGAAGAGCCAGGAGCGCACATCCTTTGGACCCGGGGTCCCTGTGCTGAAAAGCAACTAGACCAGGGGAAGACTGATGACAAGGACATTCCCCCAGAGCCAACACACAGAGAAAAAGCCTTCCCCTGGAGCTAGCACCCTGACTTTGGACTTCTAGCCTCCTAGACTATGAGAGAGTAAGTTTTTCTTTGTTAAAGCCATCTACTTGTGATATCTCTGTTGCAGCAGCACTAAATGACTAAGGCACTGATGTTATCATTCTCATGGCAGCCCCCAAAGACAAATAAAGATCAGATTTATAAAAATACTGATAATAAAAGGCAACAATAATGAAAACTTAAAAAAAAAAAAAGATATTTGACTTACCTCAGAACTGACTTATGATGGGTTGTCAGAACAGAACCCCGTCGTAAGCCGGGGATCACCTATCTTTAAATAACCCCTGGGACCCTTATTACTCCCAAAGAGGGTGCCCGGGTTTGGAGACCCTGTAGGTGATTCGTCTCTTACTATTAATTCGATCAATAATAAGTTTTAAAGATTGCTTTTGAAAACATTCTTTCTTTCATTGCAGTGAATGAATTGATCATTTATTTAACAGTTACCTGTCTAGTTTGTATTACCTTAATCTTACAACATGGGTTGTAATCTAACTTGTACAGAGGAGGAAACTGAGGTGCAGAGAAATGAAGTGGCTTTTAAAAATCTCAGTAGGGTAGCAGAATTTAGGCTCAAATTTTGCCCAATTAGTGCAGTTATGAAAAGATGTGTGTATGTTTGAACAGAAGTATAATTTAAATACTTTAAAAATCAAGTTGCAGTCTGGGGGCTAGTGGGATGTACTTTGTTTGACCTGCATGGCATTTAAGAAAATCGAGGCAATATTTACGAATTGGAAGATTTTATTTAAAATCAGGAATTTCTAGTTTCTTCTGAAAAGTCCGTTCTGGAGCACCAGGCATGTGTTCTGTGTCCAGCACTGGCTGGGCTGCTTAGCCAGTATCCTTTATGGAGAGTAGTGGGCTTGGTTCCGCTGACCTCCCCCTCTGCCATCTCACTCCCAGTGCACGTGTTTCCGTACCTGCTTCTGCCCTTATCTGAGTGTGCAGTCCTATCAAATGGTGTTTTTGTGGAAGGTGGCAGGTACGGGGGAGGAGAAGAGAAGCTGAAGACTGAGGGCAGGGCCCCTGCTTCAACCAGTTCCGCTCTTATCTGTCTTATATTTTGAGGTCCTGTGTCATATTTTATTTGAAAATGGAGCGGGACGGGGCAGTTCACTGTTGCTAAACAATCACACACAAATGCAAATAGTTTGAAACTCCACCATCCAGGGAAGCGTGTTATATAAAAGGCTGCTGAAGTTAAAGCCTTTTGGAAAGGGAATGAGTTCCAAATCTTCTTTCCTATAAGCCCGAGTTTTCACATTTCCAGTTGCTTGATGTGTGGTTCAACCCAGGTGTATGTCTGACCTTGACACTGTGCGCTTCTTTGTACAGTGTCTCTTAATAAATGGACCTTATTGAATTCAGCTCGCTGTAGAGACTGAGGGTGTCCCTGGGTGGTGCCAATAGTTAACACACTCGGCTGCTCATGGAAAGGTTGGAGGTTTGAGCTCACCTAGAGGTGCCTCGAAAGAAAGTCCTGGTGTTCTACTTCTGAAAAATCAGCCATTAAAAATCCTATGGAGCACAGTTCTACTCTTGACACACATGGGGTCGCCATGAGTCGGAGTTGCCTCAAGAGCATTTGGTAAACTGGTCGAGACTGAGAGGGTTCTCTGCTGTTGAACCAGGAAGGCTTTGTGAGAAGGAGAACTTACAGGGAGAGGTGCAAACTGTGAAATCAGGGGCTCATTAGGACGGTGGTTTCAACCTTGGCTGCAAATTGGAATTACCAGGGGAGGTTTAAGAATGTCACCCCTGAGTCCCACCTACAGAGATCCTGATGTGATTTAAAAGTTCCAGGCATCAGGCTTTTAAAAGTTTTTCAGGTGATTCCAGTTCGCAGCCAGAATTGAGAGCTTCCACCTTTGGGAACATTAGATTTGAAATCTGAAGAAGCAGAGACCATCCGGTCTGCCTGGGAGGTGACAGTGGACTCCTGTGCATCCTTGGAGTCCTCTTGAGACCCTCCTTTTTAACCTCTGCCCATTTCATTGCTAAGGCAGGCATGGGGCAAAACCACAGCTGGTTGACTGCTATTGCTTTCTTGTCTTTAATAAGCATTTTGATGGAAAAGGTGGGAAAGAAGGCTGAAATACAGGCTGCATTGAGGACTCCCGCTCTTGGCAGATGCGTCTACCTGGACACGCAAGTCAAATCCTACTGTGATAATGTTCTCCTGCAATGCGAATTGTCTCTCTAATTCACATTTCTAATTCTCTCATGTTCCTGACCCTTCATATCATGCCTTGATGTTGTCTTTTTTCTTTTTAGCAAAGTGAGTTGAATTCCTTTTTGTGGACCATAAAGCGAGACCTGCTGTCTTACTTCTTTGGCACAATCCATGTCCCGTATACCCGGGTTTGGGACTTCATCCCTGACAACTCCAAGGAGGCTTTTCAGCAGAGCAGCATTGTGTACTTGGAGCTGGACCTCACGAACCCCTACACCATCTCGGCCCTCACCAGCTGTCAGATGCTGCTGCAGGGCGAGAACCTCCAGGACGTGCTCCCCAGGGACATCTACTGCTGCCTCAAGTGCCATCTGGAGTACGTCAAGCTCACGATGCCCTCCTGGATGACCCCAGACCAACATGGCAAGGGCCTCTATGCAGACTACCTCTTCAGTGCCATCACGGGGAACTGGGAGAGGAAGAGGCCCATCTGGGTGATGCTCATGGTCAACTCCCTGACTGAAGTGGACATTAAGTCCTGCGGGGTGCCGGTCTTAGACTTATACCTTGTCCAGGAGGCTGAGCGGCTGAGGAAACAGACTGGGGCTGTGGAAAAGGTGGAAGAGCAGTGCCCATCCGCTAAATGGGCTGAACTTTTCACAGGTAAGACTCTCTGTGTGTGAAGCATTTGGTGGTATTTGATTGTGTGGGTGAGTCTATTGAGTGACAATACAGGAAGCTGACCAGAAGCACAGTTTATCTAAAACTTGTCTTTGCTTAAGAATATTATTCGGGGGATTAGAAAATAAGCCAATCAGTCAGCTATATCGTTTATCTGTGTATTGCCAAGAAAAAAAAATATTATTTTTTGTCATCCCAACAAACATTTACACTCTGATGACTCCTTTTAATTCAGGTCATCATTAAGACGCTGCTTTGAGAGGATGTGGAAAATGTGGATGTCAGATTGGTTGTCACGGGGTATAACCTAGTTTGAAAATGATACTGGCCATGGCTGCTTTAGGTAACATCAGCTCTTTGGGACCATTGCTGTCTGTCCCTCTTAGTACAGTGCCTTTTCAAGGCAGAGTTATGCTCCTCTTACCATGGTTTGTAGTTTCTGCTCAGGGCACTGGAATTCAGGCTGATGTTCAGGAAGTTCTTTTCTTTTCACAAGACAAGCAATACTTAATTAAAGTTCCATTGTTTGTTTTGGTGTATTTTTTTTTAAGTGCATCAGATACCTTTGAGAAGGCTGATGGGAACTTTGCAATATGAAATAAGTGTTCTTGTTTTGCAGATATTCTCAGTGGTTGGCTGTGGGATGTTGTCCTCAGCATTTGAGATTGCTGTTAACTCAACTGGCTTAGTTGCCTGGGACGGCTGTAACAAACTACCACAAAATGGATGGCTGTGAAGAATAGAAATATATTGTCTCACACTTTTTGGAGGCTGGAAGCTTGAATTCAGGGCATTGGTGCTGGGAGAAGGTCCTTTCTTCTTCTTCTTTTTTTTTTTCCTAGTACAATTCTTCTATTTTTTTTGAATGTTTTATTGTGCTTAGGTGAAAGTTCACATAGCAAATTAGTTTTCCAGTCAATGATTCTTACACAAAAGGAGATCCTTTCTTATCTCTTACAGCCTCTGTAGTGCTGGTCGTTTTTTGGCGTTCCTTGACTTGTAGACGTTCCTTGCCTTGAGGCAGATTTGCACGTGCTGTCTTCCCCCTGGGTGTGACTCTCCCTGTGTCTGTTCTCCGTTTTTATAAGATGCCACTCAAGGGATCAGGACTAGGACCTACCCTACTCCAGTATGACATAACTGATAATATCTTCAAGGAAAGACCCTATTTCCCCAGACAAAGTCACATTCACAGGTACGGGGTTAGAACTTCAAAATATCTTTTGGTGAACACAATTTAGTCCATAACACCAACTATCTTGGCCTTAGCAGATCTTAAAATGCTGAACTAGTATTGTTATTTCAAGGATTTAAGGACATTCAACAGTTTAAAAATAGTGTTCCTGAGTTGATAATGAAATTTTTAGGGAATTTACCTTGTTAAAATTCCATAATATTAATAAATATTCAGATGCTAGATTATAATATTCATTTGGCACATTGAGATTTATAGACAAAATAAGAGATCACTAATTGTCTTTTTTTTTTTTAATTATTATTTTGGAAACCCAAAGAATATTCTAACTTTAAATGTCTGCACTTAATCCAATGTTTTGAAAAAGTAAGGTTCTCAATACTTTGATTTAAAGGTTCATTGATTTTTATCTTACAGTTGTGAAATTTGTGAACATTTTTACCTGAGCCAAAGCCTTGTTTCATGCTTCCAGTTGGGGGAGAAAAGGACTTGGAAGTAAAATATTAGCTTAAGCAAGATGTCTTTGTAGGAAGGTGTGTAGTACCGTTAAGAGAACGTATTCAAGAAACATTTTAGAGCACTGTAGTTATAGACTAGAGTGTCATGTTGATTTCATGACATGCTCCTAGGATTCATGTAGGTATTTTATGTGTATAAAAATAAATTTCTTATAAGATCTTGAGGTTAAGCTAGTGAGATTAGAGTTGTTTAAATTTAAGAGGAAATCCTTGTATGACTTGTTGCTCAGACTTTTTTTTTATAGTCTATCCCCTCATGTTGCATTAGTAGAGGTCAATATTAAAATGCTGAAAACTTCAGTGACCAGCTCAATGACTTTGATATATGCATATACACATATAACCACCACCCAGATCAAGATATTGAACGTTCCCATCACCCCAGAAAGATAGCATAAAGTTTGTATTGCGGCATAACTATACAGAAAAGCGCACTCGATGAATTTTCACACAGTGAACACAGCCATATGCACAGCACCCAGGTCAGGAGACAGAACAGCACCAGCTCCCCAGTGGCCCCTCAGTCCTCCTCCCCGCCAAGCAGGACCGGAATAAGGCATGTGAGGGCCCTAAACACTGATAATCTGTGGTTCCGCCTCTTCTGCTTACTCACGCATTCACACGGGATATGTGAGTTATCTATCTATGTATATATACATGTATATGTATATATATGTGTGTGTGTTTCTTAGCTATCCATGATATAACTTCTTTTTAAATATGACTATAATATTACCAGTTGAACACAAAAGTGTTGTATGAACTGGATTATAAAATTTTTAGTGGACGTGGGGCACTAAGATTTTTACTAGATACCACATTTTCTACAAAAAGAATATTTCACATAGTTTACGACAAGGAAAATGAGTCAGTGAACTTAGTTGTTTCAACAGTCAGTGTAACATTCTGTTGATCTCCCACAACAAAAAACTGACTTTCACCAATTTTGCTTTAAACAGCTCATACTTCAATTTTGATGCTTGTTTTGTAATGCTGTAATTATAAATGAGCAAATGAAAATATGTCATAAAAGAAAATTTAGTAATCAGAAAACAAATACTACAGCAAATTACTATATTTTATTTTTAGATAGATCGTTCATCTCTAATATGTTATAATTAAAAACATTTCTATTCTTTGCTCTTAAAAATTCTTCAATGATTTCATCACAATTAAGCTGCCAAGCAATATCTCCTTCCGTACATAATAAGGATAATGAATTGAGTCTTTCTTGAAACATTGTTGTATGCTGAGGATTTTTGAGACTCTTTAGGGACAAAAATGATTATTCTTTTGTGCAGTTTGTGATCATTAAAGTTAGGAATATACATAAAGCAATTTCAACATTGGGAAATATGCATAATATTGTATCTTCTGTTATGGAATTAAACATGTCTACATGAGTACAATTTGTCTTTCCTAAGTCTGTAAACTTAGTTCTCACGTAAGAAAGAAATTATACTTCTCCATAAAGATTTGTATTTAATTCATCAGAATAAGCCTGCACTAATTTTGTAGATGCCTTCATGCATTCTTCATCAGGTAGATCCACATTGTTTAAGAAGGAAAGTCTATTTGAAAGAACTTCATACACTTTTGCCCTTCTTTTTGTGCAAGATTCAAGTGTGTCAATGATGGTGTAGTATGTGGTTAGCGAAATTGATCTTTGGCACTCAGTACTTCTGGAGCACTTCCCGTCATTTACTTGTTTCTTTCTGTTGCTTCTGTGATGGTGAACTGCTCGATATTCAGTATTTGGCAGTATTTGTTTTGTTGTATTTTCAAAATCTTCTCTTACAATATGTAAATACCCTGTTAATGAATGATACAGATCTGTGCATGTCTTTGAATATATTTCTGAATCTCGGAGAACTGGATTCCTCTGATGAACATGCTGCAGTATATTATTCCACGTAACCAGCATAAATACATACCCTAGGGTCTGCATTTTGTTAGCGATGTTTCCAGCTTCTCCTTTGGTATATCCTTTTTTGGTCTGGTCTTCAGCAATATTTTCTAAGGCATCTAGAATCTAAATGTATGATTCCAGGACTGCACTCATTGCTACAGCATGCGATTCACAACGTGTGTTAGAAAGATATTTTAATAATCATTGCCTAAATATGTATTAAGAACTGCTCATTGGTGAGTAGAGGTGGCAAAAAATGTGTAGAGTAACTGAACAGTAGAAAAAAAATCAACCGCTTCTCGACAACAATCTATTGTGCTATGTCCTACAAGATTAAGTGAATGCGCAGCACATAGTATGAAAATGGCATTCATTACGCTCTAAAATTTTCTGTTGCATGCCTTTATAACACCCTGACATATTGGCAGCATTATCGTAAGACTGGCCTCTGCACTTAGAAAAATCAGTTTTGCAAACTTAACATAAATAGTGAAGTACTTGATTTGCAATTTCTTCCCCAGTATGACTTTTTAATCTAGTAAACGTGATAAGTTGCTTGACAGGGATATGTGAGTTACTCCCAGAGACTCGCCGAGATAAGGAATTTCAATTACACGGGAGGGGACTGTAGGAGACAGATGTCAATGAAGGTGTTGAAGTGGTAGGGGCCTCAGAGCTTAAACAACCTTGTGCGTGGATCTCCTCGTGACCCCGTGTGAACTTTATTTCCGGCTGGCACATCCTCATGCACTGGAGCTAGTATCAATTTCATTTAGTGTCCTGCCAGTTCCCTTCCACTGTGGCACTCACTTTTCCTGGTGTCCTGTCTGCTTGGCATCTGTGCGTTTGGACAACTGGTTCCCCTGTTTTGTTGATGCTCTAAGCATGTGCTTACCTTGCTCATTGGGTAATCTGTTCCTAAACCCTAGGATAACCACATTCCTGATGTTTTTAAGCATAAATTAGTTTGCCTGTTTTAAAACGTCACATACATGGAATTATTCAGTATGTCCCCTGTCTTAGTCAGTGTTCTATAGAGAAACAGTACCAGGAAGATGTATATGTGTTTATATTTACTTCAAGGATTGATTCGGGCTGGAGACTTCTGCAGGCTTGTATTCCAAGGTCTGTAGGTCAGAAGATGGGTAGAGTACAGAGTCAAGAGATAGAGATCTGCCAAAATATCTATATATAGTCTGGGGGCAGTTCATGCCCTAAGGAAACTCCCCTTTCAACTGGTTGATTGATTACATTATGGAAAGTGATTAAATTGCATTACATTACATTATGTTAAGGAACAACAACTATCTAGTATTTGGCCAAACTACTGGGAACCATAGCCTAGTCAAGCTGACACATA